TTCCTACGCCCACCCGGACATCGCCACCAGCTGTGAATGTTGGTAGAAAGTCTATATTAAAAACACCCGGCACAGCTAAGGGTAAACCGAAGAGTGTGATTTTTAGCGAAAAATTGCGTKTTAAAAAATTCAAGTTTACTTTAGAGGATGATGAGCCTAGCGAAGATGAAGAGCAACGTATGCAAACTAGCACCGAAGGTAAATAACTTAAAAAATATTTCCGCYTTATTTGATACCAATTAATTTTGTGTCCGAATTTTATTGCAGAGCCSCTAGATGACCAACGCACCTATTCCTTACGTACGCGTAAAGTTGTTCTGCGACCATCCAGTGAATTCGAGATCCCCAAAGCTTAAAATGTCTTTAATTTATTTTTTAACTGCTATTAGATTAGATTATTAGTTATTTAGCTGTTTTAACTAAATTTGTTTTCTTTTGTAGCGCATTATTTGTCAATTATTATATCTATTTTAATTTTTTAAATACAAATTTTAATTCGGTGTATATTTTATGTATATCCATTTAAAAATATGATAAAGCAAAAAAAAAATATCGACTGCACCGAGTAACACCCTTCACATCACATCGCGTTGCGAGCGTCACCTAAGCACTGACTAGGCACCGTGTCTGCTTTTCTTTTRTAAAGCCACCTAACAGTCASCATTACGCGATTATACATTATCACTGTTAAATCACATCACTTCACGGCGCGACAGTCACCTAAGCACTGACCAGGCACTGCGCCTGCTTTTCTTTTATAGAACCAGCTAACAGCCAGCTTTCCKCGAGATTACATTATGACTGTTAAATCACATCACATCGCGCTGCGAGCGTCACCTAAGCACTGACTAGGCACCGTGCCTGCTTTTCTTTTATAGAGATAGCTAACAGCCAGYTTCCCGCGAGTTTACATTATGACTGTTAAATCACATCATATCGCGGTGCGAGCGTCACCTATGCACTAACCAGGGGGAAGTTGATAAAAAGATACAGTTGTTCAAAAATTAGAGAAAATAATGAAGAAATTCGCTATATTTTGAAGTTTTGGTATAAAAAAGGGAAAAATGCCACCCAAAGCACCAATGAAATTTRTAAAAGCCCACTAGAAACTTCATCGCTATATTTTCGTATATACACTCAAAATATAAGAAAAATTTAGTTAAATATTTGTCATATTATTATGTATAATTGAATTTTATATCGTTTTCGAATGAATACATTTAAATAGATTTATGTGTTCGTAAATTTTAAATTACTCTCTCTTAAATATAACCAGTAATACTTTTAAATGTTGGTTACAGTAACCAATTTAGCACACTTCGGATATATGTATGTAAATAAGTAGATTTTCTTTGCCAGTATTTATGATGATATACATAAGTGTATTTAATATTCATATTATATATTGGTATACGATGGATATAAGCCGCCAGTTGGACGAAGCAGTTGTTCTCGTTGTTCGCGATTATTGCGAATATTTTTGAAAAGTGAATACATCGCCAACCAGGTGTAAAGTTTTAGAGCTAAAACGAGTAAAAGATAAACAAAAATGAAATTACAACACAGAAAAAATTTAATAACTGGTAATTAACAGCATTACTTACCCAAACTGAGGGAAATTGATAGAATCGAGCCAAAACCAGATGAAAATGGAATTTGCACAGAAATAATGTAGTCAATTAGAATAAAGTAGTAAATAAAGCAGAACAATAGGGAGAAAAGTGAGTTAAACAACCAAGGCAGTATTAAGAGATGTCGTTCCTGAAAATAAAAAAATATATMTTTGTTAATAATACAAATATATATACTTATACAAAAAGTTTATGATAGAAATTGACACAATACATAAAAAACCTAATATATTAAAACACGTAATTATATTTATATGACCTCCCGAATGTGCTCAAATGGGACGTAGAATATAGTAGACCGTTGAACGAGTGAGCTTCAAGTTTTGTGTTTCTAATGAAATTATAGCTGGAGAATCGTTGAAAATGTTGAAGAAGTATTTCCAGGAGTCTACTATATCACGAACACGAGTATTTTAGTACCATAAAGCGACGGGTTTCTGCATATGACATGGCAACTCCGAAAATAACTACTTGCATTATTAATAATTTTTCCAAATGCAATGGAATTTTTTTACATCCGCTTATCTTGTGCTCGTGCATGTAATCTCTGAAGATCCACTTTATTTACATTTTTAAAAATCTCGCAACATACATACTTAGATATACATATATATTTGTATATTTGTGTGTACGTAAGCATTTGCGTATGGGGTCTTTTTTTATCTTCGTTTGGTACATTGGTTGGTATAATTACACTGTAAATAATAATAAGAGTGAGTAATACCTTATCTCTTCCAAACATGAGATTGCTAGGGCTGGATTAATGCAGAAGTTTTTGTATTTAGGTGTCATAATATAAATGCATTACTAGTAAACTACGGAACCATTTTTTTCATAAAATTTTCTTTTATTAGTAATACATAATATGATATTTCGATGTTCCCACTTGACATTTAATATGCCTYGTATATTTCGCACTGGGATCTTTTAAGGCGTATTCTCCTTAATACAGGAACTGAGTCATTAGCGCAATGGTGTAATCTACAATTAGTGTTTGTAAATCCCCACACAAACCATTTTCATGATGCACATTTAGCTGCCATTTTACACACACATACAGCCATATTCAAACAATGCTATTTATTTATACTTGCTAAGCGATAAATGTGTTATATAAAAAAGAAATTTTTAATTAAATATTTTGTTATTTATTGACGCATTAAAGCAAGTAAGAATTTTTATATTAATGTGCGATGATAATTGGTTTAAAAAATCGAAATATCGTTTAATTAAAAAATTTGAAGAGTAAAGCTCAATGTGTGTGTATAAGTAAACATACATACATGAGATCATATCACCAACTGCATTGTTCTCTTTCTTTTATAGGTAAAAGAGAAAAATTCGATATTTATTTCTACCGAGATCCTTAATTAAATATATAAATATGCACTTTTATACATACATATGTACATAATATATAGATATGAGAAGCCCTATTTATTGTAAACTTACCTTGATGGTGCCCAATAATAAGCCAATGGATGCAAATAGATTTATTGCACTCAATATGATAAAGAAGACAAATCCAATAACGAGAACTGCAAAATAAGCGAAAGAATAGATAAGACCTTGAGTAAAAGCTAAACGGGAAAATGCGTAATTTCATAATAACACACTCTTACAAGTATATACGTTGATGGACTTACATATATAGTGGGAACACATTAATTACCTTTATGAACTTCATCAGGATTTAGCTGGTCACTGTCTTGCGATTGATTTATAATTTGTTTGACAATATCATCCACATAACCCAAGCAGAAGCCAAATATTAAGACTGATAAGATTGAACCAATTGTTTCAAACCAACCAATGATCATAGCAGCCGTCTCCAGACGAAAACAAAAATACTTTTGCAACATTTTCAAGAGTTACCAAAGAATTATAAATTAGAATATGAATATGTTATATTATTAAATTTAACGCGGCTTTATTGTTTTGGAACGAAAAGTGATTACAAACAACAGAGTTTCCGATATCACAAATGCACATTCATAGATAATGAACAATGGCGTTTGCCAAACTGTTACAGGCAATCAGCTGATTGTCAGTTTACAACGTTTCCTATTCAGTGTCGCATGTTAATGGAAGTTTATATTTCAATAATTTAAATGTGCGACAATAACATTTTAAGTACATTTTGTTTTAACCTTAGTAAWTTATTGTTTTTGTAATATACCTAAAAAAAGACTTGAAAATTCCCAATTAAATGYTTAACAAATATTTACTTTTTATACATGTTCGTGTGTCTATCTGTGTATACGCGCGGAACTAAAGCTTTTGAGATATTTACATGTTTATATACATACATAAAGTTCGTGTTGTTGTTGTAACGGATGTCTAACCCCCGWTAGGATCGTTAGAATTAGCTAAGTTGTCGTYGACGTCACCGAACGGTAGGCTCAATAAACATGATGTTACGAGGTGGCCAGTGTCATGTCGGTACTTATTGCATGCAGGACATGTATTTTATATGTCGGGGTCTATTCTGGATAAGTAAGAGTTTAACCTTCTACAGTTTCCAGAATGAAGCTGCGCAATTAATCGACGTTCGTTTGTTTTTTTCCGCTGGCAGACTTGACTGAAAAATCTGAAATAATCTAATGCCAGCAGCTTCACTTCATTTTTTCTGGTCATCCAGAGCGTAATTCGTCATTGACATTTCCCCGGAACCACTTGCTCCACTTTTAAACAATTTTTTTAGTAAAAATAGACTCACAACGTAAAGAGTCAACATTTCGAGTATCTTCAAGAAATTGACTCCATTTTTAAACAAACTTACAAAATACTTTTACATTTTTAAATAACTTAAGTTAATTTCTTTATTTAACTCATATCCATTGAATAATTACAACAATTAATTTTGATTATTTTTTTTAATAAAAGCTACGAAAGGGGTTCGGTAAACTTTGGTATTCAAAATTCGTATTGTGATCACCGACCTAGTTGCCGTAGAGTGTTTCCCTGGATGAGATAATCATTTTTTGATTTATTTATTTTTTCTCACGTGGAATAAATAGAAAATGCATATATGTATATAATACATATAAACCCACTTTAAAACAAGCGGTCATTTAAAATGTGTTGTTGTTTTGCGATATTTAAAAATTTCCAACCGTCATTTTAAAATGTATCTCGCGTTGCCAACATCTAACACTGAACTGAAGCGTATACATATAACATTCATATGTATGTATGTATATATATATACTAGTATATGCTTATCAAATCTAATGCATTTCATATATAAAATATATTTAGCTGTTTAGTATGTTGAAAATAGTGAGATTCATTTGTTTTTGTTTTTCTGTTACATTTAATTGTTTTTGTATGAAAAGTACATGTAAATATTACATTTGAATTTGTTCGTTTGTATGTATGCATGTATGATTGATATGACCAAGATTGTGTTAGTATAATTTCCTATRTGAGTGATTATTTATACGTTTAAGCTTAAGTTTAATTGATTTAATATAGTTTACTTTGTAGAATTGTGCTCCGGAGTGAGATCCTCGCCATACCTATGCACATGTGTTTGTGTGCATATGTTTCATTTATGAAGGATGCGCCATTTTACACATTAAATGTCTTTGATGGACGGTCACTTCCGGACGGCAAAGCTGTGGCGATCTTGTATTTCACAACTTTTTCCTGTTTTTTTATTAAATGTATGAATGGATACTTCAAGGACGGTACACAATACTGAAATAAGATAAAAAATATTAAATATTAAAATTAAAAATTTGTCATTTTGAAAAACTAAATTTCAATATACTTATGTATCTAAAACTATTTTATAGTTTCGAAGAATATTTTAATTTATTCTAAAGCAAAACTTTTTAAAATATCTGTAACAAGTAAGAAAGTGCTAAGTTCGGTTTTATTAAAATGTTTATCTATATAATGTTTATATTTATTTTTACATACATATATGTACATATAAACTATACTGCTCCGATTTAAAAAATTTATTTGGGGACTGTAGCGTAGCCTCTTACAAKAATATATGCCAAAAGCGTAAAGATTAATTGCCAAATATGTTCAATACAAGAGAAAATAAGGCGAGCAAGATATCAAATATCTCAAAAACTGAGAAAGYATTAAAAATGGAGCTTAATCTTCTTATTTACTATCCCGGTTTAAGAATTGCAAATTTCGGGGTATAAACTGATTTGTTCGAATGCTTAAATGAACYGATTTTTGTTTTGTACAAAAATAAAATTATTAAATATAATGATCCAGTAGAATGTAAATTCTTTAAGTGGTGAAGCACACACATGTACATATGTACCTTAGTTATTGTTTTACCGTGTGTTCACAGCCAGGTATACGACTTTGTATAGAAATAAGCAAATACATATATATACGGATAAACAAATATATACATACATATATAGAAGGTATACCATAGTCTGTTTGTATGTATACCTAATATTAAAAACCCGTGAATTTTATGTATAATCTAAGAGCATTGATTTATAGCCACTCTTCATTGAGATAAAAGATTATGTGAAATGCTATTAACTCACCTTATTGATGCCAAATATTAAACCAAGGGATGTCATCAAATTTACAAAGCTTAATACAATATACAGCACGCATGACCAAACCACATCTGCAATAAATTTAATTCGTGATTAGTTATTAGTGTGGATGTAAGGTTCTTATGCAGCATGCATATACATATGTATGYATCTATATATATACGCATACGTATGTATGCATGCACGCATAAATAAAATATCATATGACTTACCCCTGCGTAATTCCTTGTAGTCGATCTTGGCTTGGTCGTCCGCTAAAGACATTAACCATCTCGCCAAAATATCCGGATTTTCCAGACAGAAATAAAGCAATATAATCCCGATGATGGAAAGTGTTGCTCCTAACCATCCCAAAAGTACCCTTGATACTTGATAACCCAAACACAAAACTTTCCCCATTTAAAACAAATTTTAATTTAGAAAATTGCAAATTTATTGAAAACCACCAGTTGTACAAAAAWTCGTCTAGCCTAAACGGAAATATACAGCCAAATGCTTTGAATAAACCGAAAACTACCCCTATTAGAGAAGTGTTAAACAAGATAAACAAAAAGTGGGGGAGGCAGAAATAATGCAGAAAATTATCGATTACAGTTATTGTATCAAAATAGATYTAAAGGTCCATTCACATACAACTGTCCTCGCTTTGAGTGAAAAATCATACAAAAACAACAAATCCTAGAATACAATTGGTATGTCACAATAAAAAAAATATATTTTCCAAACGTTTCATTTATTATTGAGTGTTCCCTGTTATGGTGTTTTTTTTAAATCGATACATATTTTGAATTGTTCCCATTACAAATATCGCATTGAACATAAAAAAAAAAAAAAATTTGTAATTTACACTGCAAAATAAGCTGACTTTATTTATTAAATTGATATTGGGGTATTATAAATTCTTAAACGCAAGTGCTTGTTTTTCTGCAGACATATTCGTAGATAACAGCTGATCTAATGTTTAGATTTCCTAATGGCATATGCAAACATCTGTCAATGTGCTCCGGCTGGTGCAATTTCTTGTAACACGTTGAAAGTTGTTTGATCGGTGAATAATACATAAGATACAGATAAATAGAGTATATATATTAAGTGTGTTTCAACTATTTGTGAAAATCGAGTTCTGTTAAAGATCCAAAGGAATATAAATATAATAATTTGAACAATACAAGTTAATGATGTCAAAACGAACTCAACCGGAATGGCTACCCCCAGCAACTACAGACCGTCCAAAATTGCGGCTGTACAATAGTTTAACAAGGCAAAAGGAGGAATTCATCCCACTGGATGGTAATAATGTGACCTGGTATAGTTGCGGTCCAACAGTATACGATGCAACGCACATGGGGCATGCTAGGTAAATTTAAAATTACTGCCACGTCTGCCAACATAGACGCTATATATGTATGTATATACCTAACTAGAGATAAATACGTTTTTTGCTACCGTAATTATCATTGAAATACTATCGTTTCAATTTTAGGTCATACATTTCTTTCGATATTTTACGACGAATACTTTCGGACTATTTTGGTTACAATATTTTTTATGTGATGAACATAACTGATATTGATGATAAGATCATTAAACGTGCAAGACAAAACTATCTCTATGAAAGATATGTGAAGCTTGCCACCACGATATCTTTGGACGTATTCTTAGCAGATCAAAAAGAGGTATTGGATAATTTCAATGTAATCTGTAGAGAAGCGACAGACCCTAATAAAAAACTTATGTTTGAACGAATGTTAATAAAAATGAATGATGCAATGGAAACGCTTATCATGGCTGTAGCCAGTAATGATCCAGAAAAGATACATGAAGCGCGCATCTTGTATTTGGCCGAAGCAAAAGATCCCATATTCGATTGGCTAGATCGCAAGGAGGGCTCTACTGTTACGGATAATGCTATCTTCGAAACATTGCCACGATACTGGGAGAATGAATATCACAAAGATATGGCGGCGTTAAATGTTAGTATTTTGAGCAGATTCGGAAAGTTAAAATTTCTCTTATTTGTAATAATAATTTTATTTAATAGATATTACCACCAGACGTGCTTACCCGTGTRTCCGAATACGTACCACAGATTGTCAAATTTATTCAAAGAATTTTCGACAACGGACTTGCTTATAATGCAAACGGTTCGGTTTACTTTGATGTGAATGCCTTTGATAACCGCGAAAAACATCACTATGCCAAACTTGTGCCCGAAGCATATGGTGATACGAAGTCATTGCAAGAAGGTGAAGGTGACTTATCGCTCACAGCGGAGMGTCTCTCTGAAAAACGTTCACCCAACGATTTCGCACTTTGGAAGGCGAGTAAAGCAGGTGAACCTTCGTGGGACAGTCCTTGGGGAAGAGGTCGTCCAGGTTGGCACATAGAATGTTCCGCCATGGCTTCGGACGTATTTGGTTCAATGTTTGACATACACACCGGTGGTGTTGACTTAAAATTTCCTCATCATGACAATGAATTAGCTCAATCCGAAGCCGCTTTTGATCAATCCGAATGGGTAAAATACTTTCTGCATACCGGTCATTTAACCATTTCGGGTTGTAAAATGTCGAAATCATTAAAAAATTTCATTTCGATAAAAGAAGCATTAAAGAAAAATACTGCATGTCAGATGCGATTAGCATTTTTATTACATTCGTGGAAAGATACACTCGATTACTCAAGCAACACAATGGAGATGGCATGCCAATATGAACGATTCATGAATGTAAGTGCTTTCTCGTAACTAAAAAAATATATTCTAATCACACAAATTCATGTCTTTTAGGAATTCTTTTTAAATGTAAAAGATTTAACTCGGCATATGGATAGTGGTTCCCCAAGCGCCCAATTTGGCGTATGGACAACTGCGGAAGCTTCCCTACAAGACAAATTAAAGACAACGCGCGATGCAGTACATGCTGCATTATGTGGTAATATATTGCTTATAGTTTATTAACACATCGCAATATAGTAGTTATTCTATAAATGATCTTGGTTTACAGACAACGTTGAYACGCGCAGCACTCTGGATGCGTTGCGTGATTTGGTCTCCGTTTCCAATGTCTACATACGTGATAATAAAAATCACGTGAACTGCCTTTTACTGCGTCGGATTGCTGCATATATTACAGATATTCTGCATATATTCGGTGCTATTGACGGACCACGTGGTGGTATTGGTTTCCCCGTCGGTGGAGGTATTAATAGTAATGTGGACATTGAAAAAATTTTACTACCATATGTGGATGCAATAGCCGAATTCCGGAATAATGTGCGTGAAGAAGCGAAGATTATAAAAGCAAATGCCATCTTACAGTTGTGTGATAAATTACGTGATGATGTACTGCCCAATTTAGGTGTGCGGCTAGAGGATAAGGAAAACGGTAAATGTGCCGTTAAATTGGTGGATCGGGAAGTATTATTGAGGGAGCGTGAAGCGAAAAGAATTGCCGATGTAGAACGTCTAGCTGAAAAACAACGAAAACAGGAAGCTGCTGCCCAACTGTTGGCCGCTAAAGAAGCACAGAAACGTATTAACCCACAAGAGATGTTCCTTAATGAAAAAAAGAAATATTCTCAATTTGATGAAAATGTAAGTAATTATATTAAAATGAAAACAAAATATCACGCACTTATGTTTGAATGAAAACAAAATGTATATATATTCGTTAACTTTCAGGGTTTACCAACACATGACGCTGAMGGTAAGGAGTTAAGCAAAGGTGTGTTAAAAAAGCTGACTAAACTGCAACAACAACAAGAAGTTCGTTACAAGGAATATTTGGCTACAACAGCTAACGGCAATAAATAAAAATTTACTATTCTGTTCCGTCTACTCATTTGTCACAAAAAAATTAAATGCTTTATATAAAATTAAAAATGCTTTCAATTTATCAAACAACAAGCACATTTGTAGTTTATTTAATTTGCAACTTCCATAAGCATAATTTACGATCTGTTGCCACACCTATATAGGGCAATCGATGGTGCCAAGACAAGCCACCATAGAGCTTAAGCGTGGCATCAACCAAGGGTATACGCGATTTTGCGGTGAAAACCTTAACTGCTACATCAGGACGTCCAACACTTGCTACCACAGTCTCTGCATTTGGCGCAATGCGTACAATTTGTCCACCATCTTCATGTACTTGTTTTATATCGATTGGTGTTGGTCGTCGCAAATCCCACGATATTATATCGCCAGCTACAAGCGCTGTTATGCACATTCGATTTAATGGACACCAATCCACTGATTTTAGTGGCGACTTTTGCGCTTCTACGGATATTATGGCTGCTTCTGATTGTATATTGTATAAATGTATGACGCCCCTCTTCTCTGCCACAACGACTTTACGTGGTTCCTCCGGGTGGCATTTTACCGACATACCAGCTGATTGCAAATGAAATGTTATAGTATTTTCAAAATTTGACTTTGTATCCCAAATACGACAAGTGTTATCGTCGCCAACTGATGCCAGGAATTCGCTATTGCAATCCCATATAACCTCATTGATATAATTACTATGACCTGTGTAAATAATGTGGTGTATAAAACATTAATACATTTGGAGATATTCATGCCCACCTACCATTGAGTATTTGAACAGTGTCAGAATTTTGCAAATCTGTGCGAAATACACGCAAACGAAAATCTGAACCTGCAGCGCAAAATATAACCGATTTGGGTACTACTGCCATTGAAGTTTCTGGCGCAAAACATAATGAAACACAACGGCTTTCGTGATACAAGTCCTTCACACGTTTCCAATCAAAGCAGCCAGATTCTTCCTAAACAAATAAATATTTCGTATACTCTGTTTGTTGTGTATGTTATATGTCGACATGCACAATATTTACCGGCAAATTTATGAGTCCCAATATAATCTTTTTATGACTAGCAAGTGCTACTAAATTACATGCGAAATCACTATTACAAAATTCAAAACACTCTAATTGCTCCGGGAAGTTCAGAGTGTGCGTTGGTGTTGTAGAATTTCGCATTATTTATTAAAAATATACAAAACAACTTAAATTTATCTCAGCACTTACAGACTAGGCACGTATCTTTTGCTAAGGGTAATTGATTCTTATCGACTATTAATCGATTTTATACCGATGATGTGTTTCAAAAATTCAGTTTTTGTCTTTTCTCTTCGTTACTCTCTACCGTATTATGTTTGATCTGTGCTTTCTTGTAAAACAAAAACAAATTACCTATAAAAGTAGCAACAAACTTATATGGTTATATCAAATAGAGGAGATAATGTGCTCATATAGCTTCATTAGCGATTTTTTTATGCTAGGTGTTTGTTCGATTCGCCATTAAACAAATTATGGCGAAAGGAAGGCAAGTTATAGTAATAAATTAAGCTAGCTCATAAACCTTCAGTCGATTCATTAACAGAAAATTATACAATTAATTATATCGCCGGAGTTAGAGGGGGAGGTGGAGAGTACGTTGCTTTTATCTATATTAAGTTATCCTAACTTCTCGTTAATATTTTGTAAAATTTTATTTCATCCATCCAGGCTTGAAAAAAATTTGTTAAGAAGTATCCGAATAACATTAGCCAATACTTCGTATRCTCGATGAACTTAAACTCTTATCTTTAGATCAATACTGACAAAATTCAGTCAGAAAACAGTAACGGTAATTAAAATTTAGCTGTAGTTTTTGGTTATTTCCTTCGGATCTGCGCATTTTTGAATTTACTCTTCTGTGGCAATAAGTCTTAACAATTCCGACGTACTTGTATTCTTCCAAGACCTACCAGTTTTGAAATAGATTTCAGTCGGTGGCAAAAACTTTAAATCCCAACTCAATTTTTTACTAGTGAATTTTCTAAAATAAAGAGACCGTGTCATATGTGGCTCCATAATTATAGGCAATGCAGTTTATTATTTATATTATTCATGAAGAAAATTTTACAAATCATATGTGAAAAAAAGTAAATAAGTAATAACAAATTGTTCTTTATTTTTTCTGTTTATTGATATAAATACTCCAAATGTGTTGCAGTGAGAATGCAATGGCTGGTTGGCTTGAATATACTCATGTTTGACCGAGTGCGTCTATTTAATGTATTTAAAAGTGTATATAAACGCATTGACCTCAAGTCACACGCTTAACTGTACACGCACGCACGCACACACATTCATTTGCGCAAGCGCACCAAAAGAAGTACGCCGAATTCAACAAAATTAAGTGTTTCAATACATTTCTAAAGGTAAGGTAAAAAAAAATTAAACTAAAAACATTAATGTTGTTGTTTTTAAAATGTTCATACTAAAATAACAATCCATCATCAATGTTGGTATGTATGTAATTTCCCCAAACATCGTACAGCATAATACACATATGCATATGCATATGTACAATAACGTAAAATTTCTCTCATTCACATTCCAATGTGAAAAACTATATATGTATGTTAAACCCTTCATGGCATTCCATTTAGTTTCTAAATAATGTGCCAAAATTTTGCTCTTGTGGTTTACATAACTGAACAGAGGCCTGATGTCTCGATGCCACATTGTACTTTTTTCGCCTTAGTGAGTTTGACATTTTGCAAAGCCGGTTTCAATTCATACGTTATTAATTCCTCTTGTGGCGGCGGTGGCGTTGACGTTTTCGGTGGTGCTGTTTGACGCTTCGAAACAGTCGGCACAACTGTGCTGGTACTTGATGGAGGGAAATAACGTGGCGCTGAGGATGTACTGCCATAGCTGCCAATGACAGATATCGTACTTACATTGGACTCTGCATTGACAGCTGCTTTTATACTGCTACTGCTGCTCGACACCACCGGGGCTAGGGTAGTGGTACGTACGCCAGTCGTACCGCCGCCACATAGTACCGGTATTGTGGACACAACACTTATGGCTGATACATGGCTATATGATGTTGGATTTTCACCACCAACACCGTTAAGGTTGTCTTTATTAKCATCGATTGTATGTGCATCGGACACCGTTGAGCCTTTGGTTGGACTGATCAGCATGTTGTTGACTGCCGTTGYAGTTGTTGCGCCTGTCGCAGAGGCGCTACCACCATTATTACTATTACTATTATTATTAGTACTACTATTATTTGCTGTTATACTACTCTTAGCTATATTTATTTTAATTTTATTAACTAAGCTAGCCAATGGTATCGCAGGTGATGGACCAACTGTGGATAAATTATGTTCATCTTCGCTGCCGAGATTGCCATCAATCGAGCTATTCAAATCAATTGGAGTTGCGGTTACTGTATTTGTATTAGTGCCCTCAGCGAATTCCGTWGTATCGACTTGAACAAGTGATTGTGAGGAGGGTGGCCGTTCGGCAGTAGGCGACATGCCGGACGTCGAAGACGCAATCGTTTGAGTTTGTGTTTCTTCTGTAAATCATAAAATACAGTTTACATTAGCAAAAAACGAAATATGAAATTAATTTATTGTAAATTTATTATGTTGCACTTACCACTGCTCTGTATGGAGATCTCTTCATCAGGTGGTATCAGCACAGTACCAACATCCTCAAAACCGTCATCTTCATCCTCATCGTCATCCTTTGGTTCTTCTTTAATTTTCACATTAAAGAATGACATTTGTGAAGTTTCGTCGGTATCCGGTTGTTCCTTTTCCACATATGTATCCAAGTCTGTGAATGGAATGTGCGGCTCTTGTATTTCCACATCTGATCCAGCGGCATCCTCATCCGCATCTGCGTCTACTGATTCGGCGCCGTTATTCTCAGTGTCAATGTCAATGGAATCTTTATCTGCGATTGGCGGTACACTTTCCGGTACATATTCATCGTCATCGTCAATTTCTGTCACAGAGGGTTCCTCATTAGGCAATACGATAACGTCATCGTCGTCGTCTTCCGGAACGTTGCCAGTTGGTTTTACACCTTCAACTGAAAAAACAAATTATAATTAATATTTCTTACGGTTAACCGTAACTACAGTCACGAAAAATAGATTTTGCTCTATGCTTTTGTCAGTCTTAAACATACCATAACCTCGTATTTTACGAAATRTAATATAAAAACATAAAAAAATACTCACCATCGCTATGTTCATCACCTTCAATTTTGATAATCATATCATCATCGGTATTTGTTTCCTCTGCAGCCTTCTCTTTCTCCTTTTCCTCTATTTCTTCAACTTKAGCATTCAGTGCAGCCTATTGGATATTCCAATTTTTATTTTAGTCTAAAACGAAAAACACAATTTTTTCTTTCTTTACCTTGTAGTCATCGTAGCATAACGGATGATATATTTTATCTTCCACACGAATGGCATTGCGCAAATGCCATTCCTCAGTTTCCTCGTGATAAAATTGTTCGAACTTCTCTTGACACATATCGCAGACACGATCGACATCTTCTGGTAAAGCCGGACAACTAAGCGGTACCGGTGAATTTAGCCACTTTTGATTTGATGTCTCGTCCGATGCTTCCACATCATTTTGCTGCGATTCGAAAAAGTTCTTTTCACGTTCTTCTAAATCCTCAATTTCCTCATATTGCACCCAATCGGCTAGATCATAATACCATTTACGCGAATGTGCCTTCCGGGATAGGTCTCGTTCGCGTCGATTTTGTCGGAAATGCCAATCTAAATGCTGACTATATTTGATAGTTTGCTCTGGTGGAAAGCGCACACCACAACTGCTGCATTGCATACCAGAGAATATTGTATCGATTATTGCCAATTGGCGTATTTTAATCGTGTCCGATTTGGTCAGGTCGATTGGGCGTATGGCAACCGGTTGAGGTGATTCCTCTTCAGGCGCGGCAGCTGAGGGCAAAATACCGGCATCCTTGTTACTAGATGCTATAACATTGCCCGCTCCACCCAAAATACCAGATGATACTAGTTTCTGGAACAGCTCGTCGATATTAATTTTATTCAATGCTGTGGCAGAGAATATCGGTATAGCTGAATTGCCACTGCCTGCTGTACCAACCACTTCCGGTTCACAAACTGCGCTCGTTGCTTCTACACTTTCAGGTGTTTTAGTTGACGARGCCTCCAATTGAACACTTTCCGCTGTATCCATACTATTTTCTTGTTTTTCTTTTTCCGGCTCAGTCTTATTATCAATATCTTTTTGTGTACTCTCAGTTAGCGGTTCGTCAATTGCTTGAATAGCTGGTRCGATTGTTTGTATTGGTTCCGGTGCTGGCGGTTCGGTTTTCACATAAATCATATCTTTAACTACAATTTGGCCTGCTTTCAAACCTTGTGGCAATGCGCCGAATCGTATGAAGTAACTTATACCGCCCAATACGTAGCTCTTCGGCAAACCGCCATACTCCACTTTGGCGGGCTCGCCATTCAGCAAAACTGTCAATAGGTTATCAGCAAATTGTACAGTGTGATCTTGATTTCCCAATTTAAAACTTTGCGGTTTCGCATCCAGGAACAACGGTATGACAATGTGTGCATCAACAATCATATTGATCTTACCCACAACCAAATCTCGACGCAGCGCACCGATATTCACTTGTGGTGGCGGACCTTCAGCTTTAAGTATATGTATTCTATTTTGTAAGGGAATCGAGACGGGCGGTCCACCGAAATATATCTCATACCACTGATCATCAATGTACAGTTCGCGCGACGGAAAACCGAAACGCAAACGATGTGGCTGACCGTTAATGCTGAACGTTTTATAATCATCATTGAATTGCAACGCTATTGGTGGCTCATCATCAATGATGATCGAACGTTGACCCGCTTGAAACCCGATYTCACGTGGCTGATCCAATTCCATGAACACAATGGCTACCTGATCGTAAATGCGTATCTCTTTTGAGAGTCCATCGATCGTGATGGTCCGCACTAAATCGGCCTGCGGATTATCAATAGAGTTGCACGGTTTCGGTATGTTAGGAGGTAGTGGTATGATTGGCACCATTGGTGCTTGTGGAGGCGGTGGTACGCTGCTACGTATCATCGGGCCAGAATTCACAAATGGCGGCCCACCGGGCGCAACTACAGGCGGCATTTGCATTTGCCAAGGCATTTGCGGATGCATGATGGGCATATTTGGCGGTGGTCCACCGCGGTAGCCGCCGATATTAGG